TCCATGGTTTAGCCACGGGTGTCAGCTGCACTTTGTCAGTCATTGGATCTCTATCCAGGGTCACCCTGGTTTACTTTCATGCCCTCACACCACATTGTTAGTGCTCAGAGTTTTGAATGAATGTCTGCTGCCACATGAATCCTAACTGGTTGGATTTCATAAACATTTTCCACAATTTAATTGATAATCCAATTAGTTGATAATCAAACATACACATCTCTGCCCAGAGATAAATACAGACAGCTAACCTCAAATGTAAGAATTTATTAACAAAAATATGTCCAACCTTAGAGCTAAAATATTTCAATGAAATACCTAAGCTAGTTACTCTCAACTAAACTGCAGCATAAAAGCAACAGAGTAATGAAAACTAAGAAACTACTGTAAGGAATAAATAAGACTAAATCCAGTTACCAATAAAATGATGCAATGATATCATGTTTAAAAACTAGTTTCATTTTGAGGAAATTAGAATGAGGTCAAAATAACTTTCAATTGTAATTGGGTTACAACAGACAAATTATTTAGATGCAATATAAGAGCTGTGAGTATGTTTATTTAAAACCAAGATTTGTAGTGAAGAATTTAGTTTGGGGCCAAATTAGCTCTAAGCTAATTAGATTAGCTCAAGACTTAATTAAGAATAACAGTTGGTTGACAGTCTTGTTTATCTGGAAACAACTATTTTCAAACTACCTCGTCGGGGGTTTATTATTAGATGAGGAGCTCTAACTTTAGCAGTGACCACTTCGAAAGATGAAGAAAGCTGAAGAAATAATTGAAAATAGCCAATAAGACTTGATTAAAACGAAATCAACTGTAGTACAAATTGTAGTACAAACTGCAGCGTTGCAAATATCTGTTTTTACTTTGACACTTGTTAAAACCTGCGTGTTAATTTAGTTAAAATCATGTTCATGTTAATATTTAGGCAAAATTCCAAAATAATCTTGAACGAGACTCAGTGATTTTTAAAAAGAAACCAATTGTTCATGATCCAGATAGAGTTGCTTTGAAATGTTGATTCCTCTGAGCTGGCTGACTGTAACAGGCGCAGGCTGGATATGTTCAGAGGTAAACAGAAACAACAAGCAGTGGGCAGAAAGTGCGCAGCTCTGTAGTATCTCTGGTTGGGTAACCGCTGCACATGACATGGGGAAGCAGTGAGAACGCTGCTGCAGCTGTCAGAGCGCAACGGGACAGATTTAACCTGCCTGCATCTATTTCACATTGATACCATGTTCTCCTGGCGGAGCGGAGGACAGCGTGAGTCAGAGCACAGCAACCTGCATGGAGGCATGTCATCTACTGAGTCACACCATCATATTGAATTAAAAAGGCAATGGAACTCAGACACGCTGTCTTATGGGGTATATTTAGCCATGCGGTGGTAAAACAGATGGCAGGATTGGTTAGTCAGCCCAACGCTCTGGCCCAAAATGAAAAATCCAATTTTTGCTGGTTTCATGTAAAAATTCCATATAAGGCATTTTTACTGACAAAGGGAGGAAATCCAAATGCTTCTCTGCTGTAGCGCCTCCACCTGGTTCAGATCCGCCACAGTGTTTGTAGTAGCGCTATCTGCACTAGTATTGTGTGATTGACAGCTGACCGCATTCACCGACTGCCCCGTAATTTACATCATGGCAGACTCCAAACAACATTTGTCATGTAGTTTAGCAGTGGATCAGCGAACATGTCGTCTGCTACCAGAGAGCTGCTCAGTCTGGAGGAGCAGAGCTGGGAACACACACACATCAAGTTCTGGAGCAATGATGGTGGTTTAGCAGACCTATAAGCAGCTCGTCTCTATGAAGGAGAATTAGGCCCACTGAAAAATACAAAATAAAAATTCAGACGTTTTGGGTTTCCTCTCTACAGGTCTCTCACAAAAGTTTGACATTTTGGCCCATTCCTTCAGACTGAACTGAGTTAGGTTTGACGTTAAAGACTTTCTTCTGCCCATTCCCATCCACACAGTTCACAGTAAATGGACTGAACTTATATAGAGCTTTTCCAGTCATATGGATTGCTCAAAGCACAGTACACTAGCACCACATTCACCTATCCACACTTACAAACGTGTACATTAATACACCTTACATAAATCGGTAGACAACTTGTGTTTTGAGGAGCCCATGGCAGCACTGACATGAAGCTGGAGTTGAACCCACAACCTTCCGTTCACAAAGATGTTTCTTCTCTTTCCTAAGAGCTGCAGTCGTCCATCCCGTGTTCAGAATTCTTTTTTTTTTGTCTCTTTATACTATATTTTGTCTCATACTGTGAGATATGTCTCCTGTGCTGTAAATGTTTATTACAACAGACAGATGTCCTGTCAGAGGAGTTAGCCTGTAGCTATATTCATATTTTAATAAAGCAAACTCTTAGATATCTTCTGGGAGTTGGCTATAAAGTGGAAAGATCTATGTAGCAGGGATCAGGACAGTGAAGATGAATAGGCAAATAAATTACCAAAATGTTTGACGTTTATTGACTAAGTAAGCTTCAAAAATGTATATGTGTAAAGATCTACAGCGTTTTTTTATTAGAAGCATATTGATCAGGATGAAGCCAGGCACTGGTTAGTGATCGCATATTGCATAATGCGCCACATTGTTACGTGATCATTGTTTTAAAAAGAGGACTTTGTGATATTAGGCACAAAATGTAAAAATGTTCCTTCACAACGTAACTATTAAAAACACTGTAGAGACACAAAAATCGTATCTAGTTAGTTCTAGTAAGTTACTTGGTTAGTTTCTAGTGCAAATACACCTGAAATAAGATGAAACTAACTTACAAGTAACTTTTCAGCTTGTTTTAAGTAAATAATTCCTTAAAATTGATGAAAAGGAGCTGATTCCACTGGCAAATAATTTAATCTGCAAAAAGGCATGTTATAAATGAAATAATCTGCCAGTACTTTTTTTTATCAATATTAAAAAAATATTGACTTAAGACAAGCTTTGTCTCATTTCAGGTGTACTAAGATACATGGTGAGATTTTGTGTTTTTGCGGTGAAATGCATTCAAGGATTGTATGGCCTTTCGTCTATGAAAACAACTGTAATTTGTGCTGGTGAACTCCACAGGAAGTAGTATTTAACAAAACTTTACAAAAGTGACAAAATGTTGCAAAGAAAAACCAGATCAGAAATATTAGATCCAGAAACCTCAATAAAAAAAAAAAATCAGTTACAAAGATTAACCAAAAACCACTGAATAATATCCATCAATCCTGTCTACGCCCTTATAAGGGGCCTGGTGCCCAACTGTAGTAGTGATGGAGTGGGGCACACCCTGGACAGGTCCCAGGTCCATCACAGGTCAGCACAGAATAAACAAGCACGCACGCACTCACACACACACACACACACAGACAGCTTAGAGATTTGTGGATTTATATTTGCAGTCCTCTGCATGCGCAGGCAGGTCTGTCGCAATAAGCAACAAATCAATTGACGGCATAATTAATTAAAACAAGCTCAATAATTTCCATTTGCATGAGTTATCATTTTTCTCTTGTCCCTTTCTGCCTGGATGACAAAAGTCTTCAGTCTTTTGTGACATTTTTATCGAATGATAATTTTTAATCGAAAAGATAATTTATTTATCTTTGAGAATGTGTTCTTGTGTTATTACGCCACTACAATGATATGACTTGAAAATGGTCTCAAAATAACAATATTATCGTTTATCACAATAACTTTTGGAACAATTTATCGTGCAGTACAATTGTTATTGTGACGGGCCTGTGAGGGGGTTCTGACCCTGTTCACAGGTGATAGATGATATCCAGTTGGAAGGGAGAGAGAACAAAGTGAATATTTGATTGCCCTCCAGGGAAGAATAGAGAGAATGAAATGAATGAGAGCTGCTGCCTCATCTAGCAGCCGGCCTCAGGGAGACGTTCACCAGGAGAATGAGAGGCAAAAAAAAAAAAGATACAAAGGAGGTGAACTTACAGGGACTTACCCCACTTGGATGTTGACAGTGGGTTGCTCCATGGTCAACTGTGTTTCTGACTGATCTTTCTGAGCACCGGGAAATTAATTAGAGGCTTGATGACTGAGGGAAGTGAGGCAGAATAATAAAAATCATGACAATCTGTCTGCATACTACCTCCAGTGTTCTCTGTCCTTCCCAAGCTGTGGTGATTATCAGCAGTATCACTCTCACACACGCACATGCGCACACATGCACACACACACACACACCCATGAGCAATTAACGGCTGTACAGTTTAAAGAGATAAACCTGGGCAGAGCTGGTGTAGAAAATGAAATTGAATCTGGTAATTATGGATGAAAGTAGGTGGGGCTTATGAATAAAACCAACATTTTGAAAAAAACAAACTATAAAAACACAAAGGTTCGTCCTATAAAGCTCAGATTTTCAGGATATATTCCTTAAGTCATACATGGTAAATTTGAGGCCCGGGGGCCAAATCTGTCCCGCTGCAGCTTTTGAAAGAACCTCCAAAAAACAAATAAACGCTTAAAGAAGCAGTATTATATGTAAAATAGACCTTTTTTACATTATCATCATGTTTTAATGTTATTCCCTCATCAAAAACAAACTTGAAGTATTGCCTTTATTCTTCCATGCATGTTTGAGAAATCCTTTAGTCAACCATTCAGCTGTACAAAACACCTGGGTGGACCTAACTCCGCCTTCAAGGACGAAGTTCCTCCTCAGAGCTGCAGTTTCCAAGCTGCTGAACTCCCATCTCACAGAGCGGTCCTGCAGTTTGACTCCCCAACTCAGCTCCTTCAAACTAGCCAGCAGCAATTAGTAAACACCTAGTGGAAATGAACATCTACAGAGCTAATTATAATAGCTACTGCTCAGTGAAATGCTGGTTAAAACACTCTTAAAGGGTTAATAGAGGAGCCATGCTGTGATGACTTTCTGAAGGCAGAGTTTCAGAAAAGGGCAGCAGTTTTTAAAGAGACAGAGATCCAATTCCAAGATGTTACATTACAAAGACAAAAATCCTTTTAAGTCATATTTGATGTATGCAGCATTGTTATATCAACTGACTGTAACATAGCTACTTGATTGTGCTATAAAATGATCCTGTCTGCCTGGAAAACTCATAATGCTGCTCCTCCACCACCAAAATCACCTGATGAAAAATCATCTTTCAAAATAAAAATGTTCTATAGTACCTGAACGTTTCCTCAGTCGTTTATGAGCAGCCGTAAAGTTGGGTGGGACAGCTTGTTTTCTTTTGTTCTCCTTGTTTTAATGCTTTTGCACAGTGAATCCTTTAATGTGAATCTTCTCTCCACTCCCACACTGTACGGCAAAATTGTTTAGGACAGGTGACTTTTCCAACATCGACAATCAGCTGGAAAGCAGCTGGAACGGGCGCGGCCATTTATCAAGAAGAGGGAATTAACTTCAAAGGGATTTGAAGACGTCTGTGTAGAATGAAGGCTCCGGGATGAATTATGCATGAAAACGCCTCACCAGAATAATATGCTGACACAATTTGTCACACCCCACCAGAATGCACAAGTCGCAGAGTTAAGGGGGAGGAGCAGGCCGGGGGGACTGAGGCAGTCAAGTTGCATCGTCGCTCTGGGCCAGTGGTAGTTGAACAACTGTGTAATCTACACCGTGAGAATAAGTTTAGTCATTTTCTAATTTTCATGCAATAAATTAAAACTTTTTTGATACATTGTGCTTCATTTAAAATGTGCTTCATTTTTTTTTACCTGTGTAATCCTGAAGTGCTTCGAGGCTGGACGTGAGGTGTGTGTCGCCCCCATGCACCTCTAAAAGCCTGCTCTGCTGTCGGCGTGGGGAGGATGCACATTTGAGAGCTGACAGTTTAATGGAGCAGAAAACAAACAGCAGCAAGGATTTTTAGACTCCCAACATTTAAAAAAGAAAAAGCTTTTCCAGTGTAATATGAATTCTTTAACCCATAAAACCTGGAAGAACCTCTCCATACATGTGAAGTTGCGCATGTCAATTCCGGCTTTAATGCGTTACATCCAAAGTGGTTATTTAGTGTTTTATTAATGCTTATGAATAATATCAAGATCTGGTTATTGTTAGGAAAGCATTGATCCACTTTTTCACTTCTAAGTACGATACCGATCCGAACAGAAGACCAGCTGCATTGATTAAAATGGTTCTGGTTTTTACACATAACTGTTCTGAATTACACATTTATTTGATAACTCTGTATCAATAAAGCACACTGAAATACACCAACAACTTCACAAGCTTGGTCAATCATATAAAAACAACTTGAATTTGTTCCCTCAGTGCAATTAGGAGAAGATCAGCCAGTGTAAAATAAATCAACTGAAACTGGCAAAACCAATAGGTTGACTACTTTGGTCAAACATGTCAAAATAAATTGCTACAAACTTTTCAGATGGTTCACAAGGTGCCATTAAGAATTCTAAATATAATGTAAAATATATAATAAAGCACCAGGCTCAATAGATCTGCCCATATCGATTCAACACATTGTCATGGATACCTGATTTAGATTTTTTTTTTCAATATCGGGACCAACACAGGTATTAATATCATATCAGTGCATCTCCAGTTATTGTCTTACGTCTTGAATTTGTGTTGATACAAAGCAGAAATAAAGAAGCTGTTTTTATTGGTTATTTCATTTCAGTTTAGCAAATTCCATCCATGACAACCAGAACCAAGTTCAAATTCAATCATGTAGAAATCAGTCCAATCCACATTCATTTAAAATCAATTATTATTTTTCCTTTTTTTTTTTACTAATTAAAAAAAGGGTCAATTGTGTGACCCTAAAGGGTTAATTTAGGGTCACACAGATATTTTGAGTAGAAGTGGGAAAGACTGGCAAAATTCAGACTAATGATCAGGCAAATAACAGCAAAGTTTGTCATAGAAACTTTTTTTTTCTGCAAGGGAAGAAAAAAAAATAGAAATTGCAGATTTACAGCAAACCTAATGTCCAGGTGTCATCAGATCTGAGTCACTCAGATTCAAACATACACAGAGCTTTACTGTAAAATACAGCAGCTGCAGAGACGATCCAGGAGGACAGAGATCAACATGTCTCCCAGAATGCATTGCATCTGTTGCTCATTAAAATATTGCAATGATCAGTTAAATGGAAGCTTTTGTGTACATATATGTTACAAATTGCAAATGTATCAAACCGTTTCTGTGCGGCACATTGCTGCCGCTGTGACGCTAACGAGGCTTCGTCTCTGTCTGTTTTTCCCCGACAGTCTGAAGAATCAGATATGTGTCCAGTGAGCGTGGGACGCTGATGAAGACACCAACTCCTGGATTGATGTCAGACAAGCTGTGGTCAGCTTGCCCTGCTTTCTCTGCCTCTGTCCTGCTCATTCAGCCGCCTTATCATCATTTCAGTTTTTTTTTTTTTTTTTTTGTATTATTTTACTTTTCTCTCTCTTTCTCTTTCTTCTCGCTCTGAGTATTTTGGCTGCCCAGACCAAGGAGAGTTATAAAGAAGTGTTTTTTTATTACTATTATTATTATTATTATTATTATTATTATTATTATTACTATTATTTGGAGCAACTTTCACATGACCATCTCCACTATCAAAACAAAAGGAAGAGCTTCGGCTTCTGTCCGCATCACCAGGCTGCTCCGACGCTCTGTTGGAAACTCTGTTAGTTTGTTTACTTTTCCGTCTTTCAGTCTGAAAGAAAGCATCCGGGAGGATCTTTTGCTCAACAGCTTTTCTAAAACATGCATGGACAAAGCTCTACTTTTTTCAGTAGAATATCAAATACTTTATGCTGAGCTTTGAACTGAGGAAATGAGGGTTTGTTTGCTTCTACTTGAAAGAAATGGAACATTTTTAATTATACATTCAATATTAAATACGGCTTCACCACTGACTTTTTTTTTCTCCACACACAGAACAACTTTTACTGGATACAGTGCTTTCTTGTCGTAGCCCTAAACCCTTTTGCAGCTTGAGATAGGTTGATAGCAATAATAACACTGCTCGAACTCTCACTATTTTGTAAAGTGTATCTGTCTGTTTACTATGCTAAGCGAAAATAGCTGTTTTTTGCAAGATGATTAGTATGATTATAAATCCCAGCATCTGTTCTTTTGTTTTGCTGCTTTTGTTGGAGGATCAATCTGCTAAACGAAGGATCCACAAATGTTGGAGTTTTGAGGGAAAATTCTAGATTTACAACAACTTTCATATAAAGGTGAACAAAGTGAGAATATTAACCACTCGATCAGAATCCTAACACCGGGAAAGAGAAACAAAAAGCATCTCCATTTTTGTTGGTTGCAAGCAGAGCTTTGAAATGCAAAAAGGAGAAAAATGATTAATAGACCAAAACAAATGGAGTAAGAGATGCACTGAAATATTAATTTAAATGTGGAGGATTATGAAATATTGACTTTTTTTAGCTTTATATTATGTTTTAATGTCATTCTCTCATCGAACCATACATGGAGTGTTGCTTTGACTGGTTCATCCATGTTTGAGAAATCTTCGAGTCTCCCGTGGCAACCATTTGGGGACGCCGTAACACCTCATTTGATGCATTCAAAATTTGCCCAACGCTCTTGCCCAAATCCCACTCTACATCCCTTGGAAGCTTGAAGGAGGAGCTTCATCTCAAAGGCGGAGCTTTGTCCACCCAGGTGTCTTGCACAGCTTAATGGTTGCCACGGGAGATTAAACATGCATGAAAGAAAAAAGGCAACACTCCAGGTATGTTCTCGCAAGAAAATAACAATTACATGATGTAAAGCTCACAAAAGTTGCTATTACATAACACTGCCCCTTTAAAGCCTCTGTTGACACTGAGATTTTTGTTAAAGAGAGTAAAGACATAACAATCCGATATTTGACACCAGCATTAAATCTGTCTGAGAAATACAGGAATTGAGCATTTCCTGTATTATCTTATTATATAGACTTAAAACCACAGAACAATTATCCGTCAGATGAAATTTTATGAGAATCTGGTGTTTTGGAGCCTTGGTGGCAGTAACGGACTCTGCTTTTAACTTTTTGGTTTAATTTTTCATTCGGCTCACACCCAAAGCCTGGTAATGATTAATATCAGATCGGTGTATCGAAACCAAGATAAATGATGAACTTGGTCGTTTTAAGTCCTTTTAATTCTTGCAAAAATATTTCTTATGATGTCTACCACGTGTTCTGCTCTGGGGGGATTTGTTTTGCTCTTTAAAGCAAAGTAAATAATGCTGGTGAAACGCTGTCAGTGCTGCAGGTTTGGGAAAGTCCCATTTGGACATCTGAATAGTGTTCATCTCAGGGAGGAGCACCCGTTTGCTTTAGGCTCACAAACGCTGCTGAGAGAGAGAAACGAAAAAAAGTCATTTGTACTGAAACCTCTCCCCTTTAAAGTTTTTCAGAATGTGTATATGGCAAAGACTGAACCATAATTGTCATGGTTTTGTAAAATAATATTGTTGTGGATTCCTGTATTGAAAATTTAGTCATAAAACATGCAGACACAAATATATATATACATAAAATCCTAAGCTTATGTAGCACTATTCTTTCTCAGATGTCATGTTAATAGACATATTAAAGCCAGTATTCAAATAATGAGGGTTTTAAGAGAACTATAAATGGTAAATACACTGATGTTGTGGGTCAGTTTAGGATATTATTGCTATCTGTTTACAGTAGAAGTCATTTTATTCACTGTCAGTTTCAGTGCTGATCAAAATGTAGCTTTGACTGTTGTCATACAAAGTGCTTTTTTCTGAACAGACCTCTTTGAGTTTTGACGTCTGGAATCACTTGAACACAGAGCTGGACTGTTTTGTGGAGCGGGACTCGGAGCGAACAGCTGAGGAACTGCTGGCTGATGTCACATTTGCTGCAAGAGATCCCAACAGCGACGACTTTAGGACTGATTTTAATATGACCATTAAGATTTGCACGTGTGATTTGTTCTTGCAAGGTAGAAGGGGTGGTGGGGGGACTTGAATGATCTGCTTTGCTCATCTAGCATTGATAATTCTGTTGATCAGCCATGTTGTGTTCTTCACAGGTCGCCCAGGAATCATAAGCCCAGCCTCCCTTTGTGCGCCGAGTTTGTGTTTTGTTTCTGTCTGAGAAAAGAATAAAAAACACCTGCAACAACATTCATTCTGAGTAACTTGCATTTATTTTGTGAAGCTGCTGTTTTTTGTTGAAGCATATGGCAAAAAAAAATTATGGATTTTTTTTTTCTGAATATCAAGAAGAGCAATAAATTATGTTTATAATTTAAAACTATTGCAACAGTTATACTTCATTTACATCAGTAATAATCACACATTACAAAGTTTATATTCACTTCAAAATCACTGAAATAATCACAACTATTTATATACTAATTCTGTTTATATGTAATCAATAAAGGGGACCTGTTACGCAACATTCACTTGCTGCAGTCTTGTTGGCAGGAGGCTCCACTTATGCTTTTCAAAGACGTACAGTTGTATAATTGTGCATTTGTTTGCAGCTGTTTTCTCATGCGAGTGTAAACATTGTGAGTTTGGGGGTGTGGTCAGCAGCAGCTCATTTGGATTTAAAGAGACAGGAAACCATAAAACAGCTCATACTGAAAGGAGCTGGAAATAGACAGAAATGACCAGAGTGAAATGTCATTATCCAACAATTACTTTGCACAAAAAATATAATAAACATGTTTTGTGAAGTTGGCAGACCATTCCTGACCTGTTCAAGGAAGCATAATAGATCATCTTTAATATATCTTAAGTAAGGAATCACTGTAATTATGATCTTAATAATGCTGCTTTTATATAAATAAGCAAAAATACTTTCTAAGGTCACACTCTAACTGTTGAGATTGGCTCATGGCTATATGTTGAGGTCGGCTCCAAACAACCGCTAGGGGAACCCGTTAGAGAAGCACATGCATATTTCAGATTGTTAGACTGACAAAAAAAAACAAAGTATGAATATTTGATCAATTCAAACATGTGTATCACTTTCACCTTAGGACTAGAACAGAGCGCTCCACTGTGTTTCTGATCCATGTTTCACAGTCAGAGCAGGCGGGTCGCCAAAGGGTCACCAGCAGAGCCAACGTAGCCTCCCCACTGATCCTCATTATCTGTATAATAGAAAAGATATAAAGTCACACAAAAAGCCCAATATTAGAACCTGAGAGGGTTTTCTCTGAAAACCTGCATTAAAAATATGCAATTTTCAGGAACGGCAGCTAAAGCTGCAGGGAATTATAAAGTGCTGCAGTGCAATTTTCAGGCATAATTTCAAGTTATGATGCGGTGAAGGTGGTCTTTGTGATCAAAGCTTTCTGATTGGTGAAGTCTTTCATTTGAATAGCTGAATAAATGTAAAGCTGTTTATTGCTCACTCCCCTATATGTAAATTCAGTGGCCCAACTACACTTTATTCAGGTGGATGTGAAAACATAAATCCCCCCCCCCAGACGAAGACGAAGTTACGTGAAAGGTAAAACTCGCTACATTTACCTCGTAACGTGCGCGAGGTGAAGGAGCGTAAGGCGCGCTGACGTGTATGGGAAAACAGAATCGGCGCGCCGCCCCCTCCAGACGGGGTTTTGACGCCCCCTCTGGTGCTGCGCCCCTATGCGTTGCATGTGCTGCATACCCCCTTTTTGCGCCACTGTGTAAATTGCAAAAACAGAGCATAGATCTTTAGGAATGCCTCACCAAGCATTCAGTGGCCGGTTCTGATTATCCCTTTGTCCTGTTCTGCAGATTCTTAATGCTGGCCCTAATTCAGCCATCTGTGAATGCAAATGAAGCCCTCGTTGCATCAAACCGTTAATTCATCTTCTTGGAGGAAGTGAAATCCACTCACTGCATACAAAGTGGATGAAAGTTATCAGAGAAGCTAATGAACATTTATCAATTTTTAATGCTACATTAATAAAATATATATTTTTTTGCTTCATAATTTCCTGAGGGTGAAGCACAGCCTCATTAAACTCCCCTGAGGCCGTCTGCATGCTCTTCTCTCCTTACTAAAGCAGCGTTTACAGTAACACGAACAGAAGGTTAGTTTGATGCTCCTGATGTTCAGACACACATTGATGCAGTAAACACTGGATCCCACTGGCTCCAAAAAACAACAGAATATTTTTGCTTTGCCACTGGACCTTGACAGCTTAGTTTCCATTGATTATAAAACTGTACAATTTGCTTAATGGAAATACAACAATTTCAGAAAAATTTTGTTTTTCAATAAATGGACTGAACTTGTATAGCACTTTTCCAGCCATTTTGACCACTCAAAGCACTTAACACTAGAATCACATTCACCCACTTGCACATTTATACACTGATCCGTAGGCAATTTGGGGTTAAGTGCCTTGCACTAGGACACATGGCAGGAGGAAGCTGGAATTGAACCTACAACCTTCTGATTGCAAGACGACTACTCTACCCACACAGCCACAGTCGCCCCAATAAGGTGGTTTTTCAGTCATATCAAAATTAGTTTATTTTACCAAAAACTATCGTGTCACATGAGTCACATGATCAGCAGCCGGATGTTGCCACTGACACAAACCACGAAGAAGAAGACGACAGGAAGTAGTTAGATAATGATTACATGGCATGTTTTTAATGACTTATCACATGAACAAACTTAATCAAGTGTGATTTTAATTTTGTTCTTTTATTTAAAGGAAACCCCACAATTTTGTTTTTTGGACATTATTGGGATAATGACAAAGTTTTGAACACATTTGTAATGGAAACACAGCCAGAGTGAAAGCCTGACAGAAAATAACATAAAATCCAGGTTTTAGTCCATATTGAGTCTTTTTATGGATATAAATTTAAACTTTTGATTTAAATGTTTTCAAACATGTTCTTACTTTTTTTGTCTCTTGCTCATGTTTCTTCTTCAGGCATTTTGAAGTTCTACTTTAGATTTGGCTATGATCCACCAGCAGGAGTGTGTATGAAATTATTCTATGAAACAAAAGCACACATTTCTTTTTCTGGAGGATATCGACGAAACAGAGAACTTTGCACTTCCAACAAGAAGCAAAATGACTTTTGATCAGTCTTTGTTCAGTCTCCATGGTAACACTCTGACATATACCACTGCATCAGGATATTTCCCAGTAGACTTTCATCTTTGACATCTGGACAGAAGGAAGTAAGCTGCAGCTGGATTTAGAGATGTTGCAATGGAGACAAAAAACAAAAGCGTACTCTTCAGAGTCAGCGCTTTTGGTTCAGCTTCCCAAAAACCAGCCAGCTCTTTTGGCTTCCAAACAGCTCTTCATTTTTTACCATCTGTAGCCTCATATTTTAGTTTAATTTGGCAAACATGAGCAACAAACTACATTAAAGACCTTCTGTTGCTGTATCAACCTTCCAGACCTCTCAGGTCTTCTGGTTCTGGTTCTGCTCTGCATCCACAGAACCAGAACCAAACGAGGAGAAGCAGCATTCACCTTCTATGCACCGCAAATTTGGAAACAAACTTCCAGAAAACTGAAAAACAGTGGAAACACTGAGTTCCCTAACAGCTGTTCAGATCTGCCTTTGATTCATAATAACTGGGAGACTGGAAAAATAGTTGATGTGTATTGATGATTTTAATGGTTTGACAAAATACAGTATCTGTTGCTGGTTTCACGGTTGGTGACTGTATGATGTGTTCATGATGTAAAGCATTCTGAACTGCCTTGTTGCTGAAGGGTGCTATAGAAATAAACTTGATTGATTGACTAAAAAATTATGTCAATCAACTATGCTACAGTTTTGAGCTGGTTGGGTCAAAACAAGAGGAGCATATGAAGAGTATGCTCCTCTTGACCCGGTTGACTGTCAGTTTGATGGTGGTGGGGGTGTGCTGGGTAGCCGTGTAGGAGGCAGCTATTTTTTTTTTCCTTTATCTCTTTGAAGATTTTAAACAGCTGTTGTCGATGCTGATCACTGTTGGCAGGAAGTCTGTTTTAGATCAGATCTGAAGCCTCTGACTTAACACACTGTTGTTGTATAACACTTTTATGAAGAGGATGCTCAGAATCTTCTGTAATGTTCGTTATTTTCTGAAGAATATTTTCTAGAATCTACTCTTTGCACTTTTATTTCCACAACATGTTCCAAGCTCAGCAGCAGGACCATTGAGTCAAACAGGGTTTGCATCTAATAACGGTGAAGTAAAGTTACTCTCAAAGTGTTCTAGAATGTCTTCATTCATTCTCAGAACAAGGACAGGCCTCTCAGCAGGTAAACAGGATCAAAGTTGCCACCAACTATCTGCGGGACACAAGATGTTCCCAGCCCAGGGGACAAATCCACTCTGAGAAACACCGGACCAGGACGAGGTGAAGGACTTGGTGTCGTTCCCATTATGTGTTCTCTACAGTTGAGTTCACATGGTGGATGTAATCACTGCTGAAAGGCAGGAAAGTCACATTATCTGTAATCCCCACGCACAGCAGAAATCTGTCTGCACATTGTCATTTCCTGTCACATCGTCTATCAGCCCTTTTGAAAGCTGAATGAAAGCTTCACTCTAACATTGTAGCTGTGCTGTCAGAGTGAGCTTAGCTGGAGAACTTCTCCACTCTGGATGATGTTTGGACAAAAAGAAAAGTGAAAACCATGATAACACTTTGTTTGATGGGGTGATCATAAGACTGACATAACGCCTATCATGAACATGAAGGAGTCTTTATGAATGTCTATGACTGATGTCATGAAGTGTCATTTGGTAAACAATGACACTTTTAATGCAAAGTTGCATTAAAAGGCCATTAAAAGTGTCAACATTCACTTTTTTGTAAATAATGACACTTTAATGCAAAGTTGTCTCTTTTAATGGCCTTTCATGGCAACTTTTAGAGCAACTTTGCATTAAAAGTGTCATTACTGCACACCACGTCAAATAAAGTGTTACCAAAAAGACTTCTGTAATCATTCAGATCATTTCTGAACATGGTTCACTGCTGCTAAGCTAATGGTGCAGCGTTTTATCTGCTTCTTTTGATAAAGATTTGACTCTTGCTGTAACTTTGCCCACAGACATGCTGGATGCTGCATTATTGACCTGCATAAAGTCAATTGACCAGTCATCAGAAACATGCTCATTAACTGTTGGTCGACTGACTAATAATCAGATCATTTGTT